AACAGTATATAACAGTATATCCCGATATAATCTTATACAGCTGAAAAGAAAAAGTACGAACTTATAAAATTAAAATCTCGACAGAAATAAATAAATTTTTCTACAACAAAGAATAACCAACTTGATGCAAAAAAAATGAGAAAAATGTTCTAAAAAGCACTTAAAATTGTAATAACTTTAAAAAATTTAGAATTTCAAAAAAAAAAAAGAAAAAGAAAATAAAGACCTCACGCAAATTTATAAATGAAAATAACTCTTTCAGCTCGTCAAATTTCAAGTCTGTAGTTGCATTCTTGCGACCCTGCAGAGCAGCCCGCATGATATTTTTTTAACCACAAGTTTAATTGTAATGTAACAGTAAGATGAATACATAAAACAGCTACGGTGGTGCTTTCGATTTTTTTATATAAAAAAAATTATCATTAACTAGAAAGGAAATCTATCTCTGTTAAAAAATTGAAGCTTAGAATTTCGAAGTGAAAATACTCAATTTTAATATCTATACTTGATGGTTATACCTAATAAAAATAATTCTTATTGTATCTTTAATCACAATGCATATAATCAATTTGGATATTAATGGGATAGGCCAAAATATCTCTAAGGGTATTTAATAAATGACTTTCTCTTTCACTCAAATGCTTTGAAGGATTTAAATGGACGAAATCTTTCTTTTCAAGTTCAATATCCCAAATGATTTACGCCATTTAATTTCAAAGAGAGCTTTGAATCGGTTGGAAGTAAACCCGGGAGAATACGTTTGCCCATACTGAATTAAAAAATACCTTTGCTCGGTTCTGTTCTATTGAATATACCCACTTTTGTCCTTTGTATTATATATTAAATTGAACCAGAAAAGGAATTCACAATTTTCGAGAGTACAAAGATTTTAACGAAATTCGTGCCAGGTGATAAGACACGAACTAGAACTGATTAAAGCACAACTTTATTTTTTTAAAAAAAACTGCCAATACCAACGTTAAAAAACTTAACAGCTTTTTTATTTTAAACATAACAGTGCTAACAAAAAAAAAACATCATACCAAAGAACAAAACAGAAATAATGAGTGGCGTAACTAGATCACCCATCACTTTTTAATTTATTGTCGTTTTCAAATAAATGATCTAGTTCATCGCTTTTAATTTATTGTCGTTTTCAAATAAATGATCTAGTTTATCGCTTTTAATTTATTGTCGTTTTCAAATAAATGATCGAGTTCATCGCTCTTACACCAGATTGAGAAATATCGAGCGAAAATGCTTTTCATGTTTTCGCTAAAGCTCGAATACCGTTAATATGCTCATTACCAAGCTAATCTGCGGATTAATTACGGTTATCCGTTAAAGCGCGGAATGAAGCGTCTGCAACAATTTTCCGAGGTCATGTGAGCAATAACGGCTTTCTTATCATTGTAGTTCGAAAGTTTCTCTCATTCTATGAATTAATTTGCTGATTGATTGTATTCATTGTCTTGATTCCTTAAATAAATAACATATGGGAATTTCCTTACCTTTGGTAATATTTTAAACCGTAAGATTCTTTGTATTAGTCTTTAAGGTCCGAAATGCCTGGTTGGTAGGACGTTGGACTCGTATTCGTGAGAACGGGAGTTCAAATCCCACCGACCGAAGAAGCCCCGCGGGACTGCTGCACGTTAAAATCTGTCGGGGATATAGATATGGATATTACAAGGATATGGAGTTGAACATTAGTAGTCGATTATCACTGATTATTTTTTAAATTTTATTTTTCTAATGGCACTTTTAGTCTTTTTTTTTTTATCAAAACGTACTAGTTTCAAACGTTATTTGTAACAGAGGGTCGCTAAATGTTTAGACAAACTTCTAAGGGAGCTAGGGTACATTATTAGGTTTAAATCGCAAATGAACCCATGCCCGGGAAATGCCCTCATACACCGCTACGGGCCGTTTCCTATTATGAGCTTTTTCTTCGTGTACTTCTGAACAGGTCATTAAAAGAAAACGCCCATAGCCGCGTATTACCGAGAGCAATTTTAATTCTGATGATGTGTCCTAACTCCCTTAGAAAATGGTCGCAACATTTACGCGATCCCCTGTTATATATAAAACGTTTTAAGCTTGTACTAAATAGACTGAAATACTGTAATAGACTAAAAATGCCGTTTAAAAAATCAGTAGCTTTAGTAGTAAAATTAACTCTACATTTGAAATCATCCCACCCGTATTGGGTAAGATTAAGTATTTATATAAAAGCTACAAAAAATTGCTCCCAAGTGTTTAGATAATTTTATAAATCAAACAATTTTTAGCCACTTTAACTGGGCACTATAGTAAATCGGCACGTTGACTAGTCAATGTGTAGAAGAGCTTATTTCTTTACTTTTGTGGTAACAGAGATAGTAATTAATTTCTTAAAACTAGAAATATAAATTAATATTTATTAAAAAAACCCAATTTTAATTTGTCCCATTCAACGCTCTTAATATACACTATAATACTTTTGTCGTAGTTTTTTTTTTTTACTTCTCGTGTTTTTATATTTATGTCAGGTGGTTGTGTGGCTAAAAATAAAATTCTGTTCTAGTTTGTAAAAATCAGCAGTGGTATTAACAAAGGCAAAATCTTAATAAAAGTTCGAATTAGCGCTACGCAATAAGGGCCGTTGTTTTGTACGTTATCTAATATTCACTTTTAATATTTTTACATGGTAGTGTTTAAAAATTTTAAATTATTTTTTCGGAGACAAATATTTGCCTCATTACGTTGTTATAATAAGAGATAATAGAGATAACCTTTAACCCCTTAACTTGTGTTCTCGAGTTGATTCGAGCGCTCTAAACATGCCAAACTGTGCACACTCGCGATAATTCGAGCGGCGTTGTATTTTATGCTGCGATAATTTTTCACACTCGAATATAATCGAGATTTAAAAATAACAATGTGTTTTTTAATATAGAGTATGTTTTTTACATAAAGATTTTTTTTGATCGGTTTTTTTCTTCAAACAATCTGTGCTTTAAGGGGTTAATACAGCAAATGAAATGTAATTTTATTTGTCAGAGAAGACTTTTTTAATAGCTTGCTAATATTTTTTTAAAAAATTATCTTTCAAAATTTTGGCAGAACAGATGTTAAGTTTATACCAATAGAAAGATTTTTAATGCATCGAAAAAAATTAAATGTATTTATTGTATTAACTTACTAGACTACTTATTTTAGACGAATTTTGTATAACTCTTGTTCTAATTTCTTTCGTAAAATTAAATAATTTTAAAGAAAATTTTTGACTCAAACAATATGCTTTTTGTTTCTGCCTCAATTACAGATGAAATTACGGCAACTATTAATCTGAAGGCCGAAATACAATCGCTCTGTTGTTGAACCTTACATCTCATTATTTAATCTATATTTTTAAATGAGATTTCTTAAAAAATGTGTTTCCCATTTATTTGAAATTTCACAGATATATTCATTACACAAACGTCTGGGGCAATAGACAATATGAAACTGATCTGATTATTTTAAATTTTGCAGCTTAATAATAAAAAAAAAATCTACCAGTTTTAATTTTTACTTTAAGTTTATCTTAAACACAATGCGATATTAACTTCGAAACTGATGTCTAGTACACAGCCTTACTTTAATATTTACAAACTTCATAGAGTGAATTAATTTGAAATAAAGTTTTAAGTGTTTAGAAAGAGTATGGATTTTTGACAGCTTTCCAATTGAAGATAGTTTTTGTTCATGTTTCAAAGCTTCAATACTTTGTTTTTGCATACAGTACATTCATAAATCAGAAATTTTAAACAAATATTCAAAATCTAGTTTTCGAATGTATTTGTAATTTGAGTTATTTAGCTTGTTGAATTCGAGTAAATTTTAGAATTCTTTTTGAGTTAAATCTGAAATTTGGAAATTCAACAGTTAATTTTATAACCCTTAAAATATAAAAAATATGTATAAGACTTCAAGGATATTTTTCTGATCATTCGATCAATTCACAATTTCGTATCATTTATCCGAATGTTTAAATATTCTTTTTAAGGATAAAGTTTCTGAACTAATTTTTCAAATTGAAAAACATAAAATGCATTATATTTTAAGCTGTGAAAAGAACATTTTAATTGCTTTACATTATTTTCTTTCTGTAAAACTACTTTGAGTTTAAAATACAGTACTTTGATTTTGTTACATAATTCAAGATTTTCGGCAATATAAGCTAAATTATTCCGAGTGTTAATTTTTTAAAATTTAACAGTAAAGGTTGTTTTCGGATAAGTACAAGTTTCTAGAGAGAAATACAGAAAAAAATTTGTTTACATGGAAATATGTTTTCATAAAAATTCTTGTTAACAATTTGAAAATGCGACTTAGATTGTACCAAGCTTTTCATTTAGTGGAAAAACATGTTAAGTGACATTATAGTAAAATTCAGAAAAATGTATAAATTAAAAGGCAATTTACCATAACAACCTCCATTGAAAAACGTCAAGTTTGAAACTGTTACAGAATAAATCACTGTTCAGTTTAAGATAATCAGAGAGTGGAAAAATTTTAAGTGACTTCCTGGTGAAAGTCAGAAAAATGTACAAAGTAAAAAGCAATTCGTGAAACATTTTGCTTTGAAAAGTATTTGGAAGTGAGAACAAACCATTGTTTTATTTAGGACTTTCAATTAGTAAGGAACTTGTTAAATTGCAGTCTGTTGAAATTTGCAAAATGAATAAGTCAAAAAATTTACAAAACGTCTTCATTTGAAAAAGTTTAGCTGAAAGCAGTGTAACTTTTTTCTACGAACTGTTTTAAGCGTATTTAAAATGCCACCTTGTACAATAATTTGCTAAAATTTATAGATGTAATTTAATGTTAAAATTAAAGTGTTGAAAGTTTAATATTTGAATTCCTTAATAAAAATGATAATCAAAATTTTTTATACTTAATTTATATCGTAAAATGATTAAGTAGTTAAACTATTCAAACATTAAAAAACTTATTAGAAATAAGAAAAAGAACTATAAATCAGTCATTTATTCACATAAAAAATTAAAAAGCATTAAAGATAATCAAGTTGAAAATTTTTAAAACATTTAAAAATCAAAATACATTAAATAAATAAAGATATTACTTCAGTAGAAAGGATTAAAAGGAGGAGCTTTAAACAATTTTTTAAAGTGTTGTACAGCATCTACATGGACGTTCATTAGAAGTCTTTTCACTAGAAGCAACCAAGCTTTCAGGATCACCAGCTTTAGCATTGTCACCAAAAATCATTACTTTCTCAATGGCTGACTGACCATTCTTACCTGAATCAACCATCTTCTCAGTAGCTGGCTGAACATTTTCACCAGAAGCATTCGAGTTTTCAATAGCTGGCTGACCACTTTCACCAGAAGCTATCATCTTTTCAATTACAGATTTACCAATTTCACCAGAAGTATTCACGTTTTCAATGGCTGGCTGACCATTTTCACCAGAGGCTATCATCTTTTCAATTACAGGTTTACCAATTTCACCAGAAGTATTCACGTTTTCAATGGCTGGCCGACCATTTTCACCAGAAACTATCATTTTTTCAATTACAGCTTTATCAATTTCACCAGAAGTATTCACGTTTTCAATGGCTGGCTGACCATTTTCACCAGAAGCTATCATCTTTTCAATTCCAGGTTTATCAATTTCACCAGAAGTATTCACGTTTTCAATGGCTGGCTGACCATTTTCACCAGAAGCAATCACGTTCTCAATGGCTAATTGAGAATTTTTATCATTAGCAACTGCATTCTTAATGGCGGAAAGAAAAGCTTCAAGAATAGTTTCGTTCTTAGTGTTTATTTGCGTATTTTGAAGTGGGGTAGTTTTCTTCTCTATGCATGCTTGACCATCTCTGCCTGGAGCAATTCCGCTATCAATGGTAGATTGAGCATAACCTGTAGATGGGGCTAAGCTACCAATGGTTGATTGAGCGTTTTTACAACTAACTGCTTTCTCAGAATCAACGGTCGGTAGAGATTGTTCGAACGATTTAAACATGCTCTCACGACCACCCGTGCTTTCAGTAGAAATGTCACTAAAAAATTCAGTAGAAGCATCGCTAATTGCAGCTGTAGCTTCCATTCTCATTTTCTCATCCGCGATAATCTCATTCGCACCTTCGATCAAGGCTTCCACAGAACGAAGCTTGCCTTCTTGTTTTGCATTTTGGAGAATGAGACACAAGCGATCAAAAGCCACTAACGGAGACTGTATTTTTGATTCAACATAGTACTCGAGTAGAGCTCTTCTTGTACAACAAAGAAGGAATTCCAGGAAATATCTTGCATTAAAACTTCTGGTGGCCAGCCGATAATAAAAATCGTATATTGGTCCATCGTCACCTGAAAAAATATACACGTTTCTTTCTAGATTATCCGTCGCTATAGTCAAAGCATTCTCAAAACTTGGAGGAAAGTCATTTAGCGACGTCAACATGAACTCATCTAGTTCCCTTCTCAAATAGTCAGGCAATGGATTCGAATATAAATTGGAAACAATATTCATTAGCATTAGAACGAACTCTCTTTCTGAAGTCTCATTTTCATAGTCACTTAAGGCTGCATCTCCCTCACGGAATTCAAGGCCTTTAACTACGACTTCTCCTGCAGCTTTGTCTAAATCTTCCCAGAACTCAAAGCCACACCTGTTTTTTTGTTTCATTTCTTCCAAAAAGCGCACCATTGAAGAATAAAATCTCATTGGGGAATCTAAATACTTCTTTTCGTAATACTCTGATCTAGATTTTAAAGCGTAGAGAGCCAAAAATCTCAAGAAATCGAAAGGACTATACATATCTGAAAGATCTTCAATTTGGTCTTGATATGCTGGAGAAGTGAGATCAACTAGAGTTTCCTTAGATTCCATATAATCACTGATGTAAATCAATAAAGCTCGAGTAATATTCTTAGTGCAATAACTTTCATACTCTCTTGGATATTTATCAAGCATTTTTTGAAGAGAATGTTGTAAAGGCTTGAGCCCTAGTCCATAAACAAAGCTCATAATATGCAACACGAAATGGCGTTCTCGTCCAGCGTCTCCTTCTAAAATATCCATCCTTAAGCAGAATAAACGCGCAACTCTGGAAAAAAAATATCTTGCAACTAATGTTTGAATTTCTCGGAGAGGAGTATTTTATAAAATTCTAGGCTGCCTATTTCTGGCACATTTAATCTCTACTGACCTAGAACTACTTAGAGGATAGCACAAAACAATAAAGCGAGTAACATACATATTTTTTCTACTCCAAAGCAAAATGAAGCTCAATTGAACCATATCAAGTTTCATTATGCTATATATGCTAAGTAGATACATAGTATTTAGCTACTAGACTAAGATTCCGGACTGAGAGAAAGAGAAAGTCGCAGGATCGAGATTCAAAATGAAGTCACTGAAGAAAATTAGCATTTGAACACGTAGCGTATACAAGCATTTCACTGTTGGAGAGCTAACTGTTGTTTTGGTCCCGAGACCAAAACTTAAATTTTGGCGACGGTCTGGGAAACATCCTTGAGGATGATTCGAAGACATGCCATCGCAATTTTGATCCTCTGCAGAGGGGGTGGCCCCTCCGCTTCGGTAGCCCGACGACCTGCACGCGAAGTCGAGCACTTTACCATAGAACGGTTTAACAAGGAACAATACAGCACACCCTCGGTCCTTACGCAGACTGATCCAAGTTTTTACTCCCCTCCCCCCTCATACGGCATGCGCATGAAGTCGAGCACTTTATGGTGAACAGTTTAACAATTACAGGTATCTCTCATACTCAATTCTTACGCAGTGATGCTTGACTTCGATCAAAGTGGTGACTGCCAGTGATGACTATCAGCTGACTATGGGAAAAATATCTTAAACATTTAAGTTCAAAACTGCGTCAGAAGAAGTCGTAAGTTCGTACCAATGAGCCAGTGAAGATAAGCATGGGTGGAATATAAGCGCCCAATTTTACTATATCTCTCACCAGCTTCATTGAATTAATAATTCAAATAACAACGTGTATTTACTTGTCTGCTTGCATATATATGCAGGTTTATGTGTTCATTGAAACATATCTTCTTATTAACATATCATCTTAAAGTTTGCAAGAATAAATGTTGGTTGTTAGATATATGTAAACTCCACGCAGACTGATCCAAGTGGTCACCCACCCGCACACTGACCGCAGCCAGTGATGCTTGACATTGGTGATCTGCTGGGAACCGTGTCTTAACGATCAGTCCACTGCGGGACATTTCAGCGTTGACGAATGAACATAAGCGACATTTAGTTTTAGTGTTAGTTATTGCAAATTAAAGGTTCGTGTATCTTTTGATTTTTTTAAGAACTGAGGTTCTACAGAGACTTCAGGCTACGAACGTACGACGACTTCTGGGACGCATAGAAGGTACAAGCTCGAAACATTAGTTTTTCGACATTCTCATTTTCATAAAAAAATTTAGAAAGTAATTTAGATTTTTTGTTTAGGTTTTGTTTGATAATGATATGATTTTTATCGTTATGATTTCTCCTTAATTTAATTAATTAATTGAAATACCTGCATCGATATCTTCAACGAAAAAAAGCATAAAAGTTAATTTAAATAAAGCATCGTTAGAATCAATCCTGAGGGAAGTAAACAACCCTACTAACTATTCAATTCATCTTTACCACCAATCTTTGACAAGCAGTCTCTCCGTGCCATCCAACGCTCTGTAGTAGGAAGATAGCGGGTTCGAATCCACCCTAACCCTTGCTGCTGCATCTTTGTGATATTCTTCTTTAACTTCTGATATTTGTTCTTCAGCTTGACCAGAACTTGTAAGAGGTAATGTGTAATAAGCGAGTTGCTATCCATGTGTAACAATAAAATTAAAAATCAGCTTTTCTCTTATTCCACTCATGTTTTAATGAAATCGAAGAAGCGATTGCGCAGTTTTCAGTAGTTTACCTAAGTCAAGCATCAATGGCAGCTATCAGTGAGTGGATGGGGGTTCACTTTGATCAACCTGCGAAGGGACCGAGGTTGTGCAGTATCGATCCTCGTTTTTCTATTCTACCGTAAAATGCTCGACTTTGCATGTAAGTCGTCAGGTTACTAAAGCAGTGGAGTAATCCCTTCTGCTGAGCATGGCATGTCGTCTAGTCATTTTCAGGTATGTTTCCCACACCGTCACCTATAGCCCATTGTGCAGATCTAGTGCTATGTAAAAAAGTACTACAACTAATAAATCGAAATAGGCTTGATGCATATGCAAATATATATGGAAAGTCTTCGAACATGAAAATATATATTTTTAAAGGGTGGAGTTTGAGTCGCAGAAGGTCTTCATTATTCTTCTGTCAATTTTTTTCAGGTTCGATTCACAAGACAGAACCTTTGTGATAAAAATCTTTATGATATTTAATGCCATAAAAATTGGTTATTTTTACCAGAGAAAGTTATTTGCTTTGCCTGTTTTTTTTCTAATGCCCACTTATCTTAACATTTTATCAATTCAGACATTTGAAGGGGAGATTTGTTGGCCACTCTTTCGATGACACCATATTAGGAGGGCCAACGTTGCTCCCACTGTAACGACAGGCAGTACAGAGAATGAAAGGACATCTATGCCTCGCCCGGGATTCGAACACAGAGCCTTTCTGATATGAGACCAGTTTCCTGTTCCCTCCAAAATCCGGTCGGCACTTTGCCTAAATTAAATATCTGTGTCTCTTTTTTTTCCTAGTAGCTCTTTAAATAATATTTTTATAACTTTAAAGAAATAAAGGACACTAAACATTTAAAAATTCAGAAATTTCGTTGTTGCTCTGAAAAACCAAAAGCAAACAGTAAAAAAAATGTTTGTGATGTTGTATTTTTGAAGCCTTTTTCCGTGATCAACTTTATTATTTAGATAATATTCCATATATAATATTCTATATGTAATATTCTAATATAATATTCTATATATAATATTCTAATTTAATATTCTATATATAATATTATAATATTCTATATATAATATTCTATATATAATATTCTAATATTCTATATATAATATTCTATATATAATATTCTATATATAATATTCTATATATTCAATAGCACTTTCGATAGCTTTCAGTCCATCTATATGAGAGATTTTTAGATGTTGATTTTCATCGTCACTATCTTCATCATCTTCGCTAGATTCATTTTCTTTATTAATGATCATTTTATCGGTAATCTCGTGTTGTCCTTCAGCTTGTTTTCCTGAGGGTTTGGAAAATTAAATTTGGAATTTTTTTCGGTGGTAGTATTAAAAATAAAAAATAAACTAGAACAAAAGAAATCCTTGAAATATTTAATAGTTTTGTTAAAGCTGAAAATCGGATAATCGAGACTACCTACTTTTAAAATGAGAAGATAGGACCCGTTCCATGTGAGAAGCTGTTCCATAAACTAATTGCAGTATTCCATGTATACTTTTAATAAAAAATTAAATTCTAAATTTTTTTAAAGCGTTAAACAGTTTTAAGGTTTTTATTTTGTTCCAGAGTATTTACCCTTATTTAACCATTATTTTAGTATTCAGTTTAATAAGGAAAGTTTTCTAACATGAATCATTCATTTTCACCTGTATATGTATTGTATTTTGTCAAATGCTGCTATTAACACTAGATTGCTCAAGGGAGTCATTTTGACTGCTTTCTAATTTCAATTAGAAAAACAATATTGTATATGATGACACAATTTCTCTGAATTTTGTGACTTTTATAATTATTTCTATTGTTGAAATTTACTAATAACTTGTTATATAACTGAGAATAATATCAAAAATATTAAAATTTAGTTAAAAAAAAAACATTTTTTTGTACATTAGTTATTCTTTCACAACTCAATCATTATGACTGCTTTTGAGCAATATAGGTATTTCAGTCTTTCTAGTGTTAAACTAGTAATTAAATTCTGAAAATATATTAAATTTGAAACTTTTTTCCAATTCATCTGAAAAAATTAATTCGAAGTTTTGGAATATATGATCCAGCTTTGCATTTTAATATTTAGTGTAAAAAACTTTCTTTTGCTTCTTTTTCCGAACTAAATTCATACAAAGGCATACCGTAAATATCCCTTGCAACCGTTTCATACCGCAAATATCCCATGTAACCAATACTTTACCGTTTCTTTGGATAGAAATATTTATGTTTGAATGTTAAGTGCAATTAATTTCGGCTAGCAAAATTGATCTTTCCAAATTCACATATTTTGCATTTGCGAATTCTTTTGTTACTTCTTTGACTCAGATGCGACACAGAGATCCCTTATATTTTTTTCTGACGCACTTATCGCAAGTAAAAATATATTTTAATATTTTTTAATTGCAAAAACAGTTCAATAATTATTAAAATTTTATTAGATTATCGGAATTGTATTTGTATTAAAATATGAAACCCAAAAGAAGGAGTTAGAAATTTTATTTCTCGAATTCATGTTCAAAAGTTTATCAATTATTGTTATTGTAAATTAAGAAAATTTCATAACTGTTTCACTTAGATCTAAAAAAGTGCAAATTTGAAAAATTATTGTTTGGAAGTTGTGCAGTGTTTGGAAGATTTTACCTTTAACACAGGAAAAGAAAATACACCTGCACTTCATGCCATATTTCTTAACCATAAATTATGTAGACGCTAAATGTAATATTTTAAACTTATTTTGATCTAAATTAATATAAAATAATGAAATAAATCTGAAAAAATATGTTTAGCAAAAATTCTGCTTCAAAGAGTTGAAGAAAGGTTGTAATCAACTAATGATAATATCTACATATCACATTCTATCTAGAATAAAGTACGAATTTAAAACTTTATTTTTCAATTAAGCAATAGGGAAGTCAAAGTCTAATTGAAAACTAAATTCGTGAAATGTATACCTTTATCAGTTAGGAAGCTCGTTATTATACGTTAAACATCTCCAAAACCAGTGTCGTTGTGGGGAGCAAGGATGCCTTTGATAACAAAAGTGTAAAACACAGTGGGGAAAATAACTTTAAATTCATTTGAAAAATATTTTTTTATCTCAAATGTAAAGAAAATTTAAATTTGAAAGACTATTTCATTTTATTTTTCAAAAAAATATCTCACTTGCGAGAAATTATTAACCTATAAAATTCTTTTCTTTGACATCGATTACATGCTACCTTTGGCTAGGTG